CTCACCATGCCACGCTACGCCATGCCACGCCACGCCGCAGCACAAAGCACCACAACGCAACGCAACACATAGCAAAGCAGCACATCGCAACGCGCACGCGCACGCACGCGCCCACGCACCAACCCACCCACGCGCCCACGCACCCGCGCATCCACAGCACAACGCCCGCAAGCTCACACTTTCACGTGCACGCGCTTACGCACGCACTTACACGCAAGTACACGTACGCACATTTCCGCATTTATACGTACAAGCACACGCACGCACTCGCACGCACGCGCACACACACGCGCACGCGTGCACGCGCGCGCACACGCGCACGCGCACGCACGCACGCACGCCACCACACAAACACACGCACACACGCCGACACACACACGCGCGCACGCACACACACGCACGCGCGGACGCACACATAAACGCGCATAATCACAACCATAACCACAAACACAAACACAACACACGCACGCACGGACGCACGCATGCAAGCACGCACGCGCGCACGCACGCGCACTCACGCACGCGCGCACGCGCCCGCGCGCGCGCACGCACGCACGCGCGCACGCATACGTTCGCACACGCACAGACGCACGTGCGCGCACACGCACACGCGCACGCACGCACGCGCGCGCCCGCGCGCGCGCCCGCGCATGCACCTGCAAACCCACCCGCGCACGCGCGCGCGTGCACGCACGCGCGCGCGCGCAACCACACTAAAACTACACGTGCGCACGCTCACGCACGCAACACCCACGCAAGCGCACGCGCACGCACGCGCGCGCACGCGCCGAGCATCACGGCACAGCGCAATGCAACACAGCCCAACCCAGCCCAATCTAACACAACACGACACAACACAAAACGACACAACACCGCACAACACAACACAAACCAACACAACACAACACAACGCAGCACAGCGCAACACAACACAACACACAATACACCACCACACAACACAACACAACACAACACAGCACAACACAGCACAGCACAGCACAGCGCACCACCACACCATGCAGTGCCACTCCTCACCATGCCACGCTACGCCATGCCACGCCACGCCGCAGCACAAAGCACCACAACGCAACGCAACACATAGCAAAGCAGCACATCGCAACGCGCACGCGCACGCACGCGCCCACGCACCAACCCACCCGCGCGCCCACGCACCCGCGCATCCACAGCACAACGCCCGCAAGCTCACACTTTCACGTGCACGCGCTTACGCACGCACTTACACGCAAGTACACGTACGCACATTTTCGCATTTATACGCACAAGCACACGCACGCACTCGCACGCACGCGCACACACACGCGCACGCGTACACGCGCGCGCACACGCGCACGCGCACGCACGCACGCACACCACCACACAAACACACGCACACACGCCGACACACACACGCGCGCACGCACACACACGCACGCGCGGACGCACACGTAAACGCGCATAATCACAACCATAACCACAAACACAAACACAACACACGCACGCACGGACGCACGCATGCAAGCACGCACGCGCGCACGCACGCGCACTCACGCACGCGCGCACGCACGCGCGCACGCGCGCGCACGCACGCACTCGCACAATCACGCACACTCACACGCACTTACACATACACGCACGCACACACACACACGCACACTTGCACTCTCGCTCGCGCTCGCACCCACACTCGCACTCGTACCCACACTCACACTCGCACTCTCACTCGCACATGCACTCGCACTCGCACTCACACTCGCACTCGTGCTCGCACTCACGCTCGCACCCACACTCACAGCCACACTCACGCTCGCACTCGCACTCACATTCGCGTTCACTCTCCCATTCGCACTCGCAGTCGCATTTGCATTCACACTCGCACCCACACTCACACGCATACCCAAGACTATCACTCGCACTCACACCCACACTCACACTCGCACTCACACTCGCACTCGCACTCGCACTCACACTTGCACTCGCACTCGCACTCACACACACTCGCACTCACACTCACAGTCACACTCACACTTGCAGTCGCACCCACACTCGCACACACTCTCTGTCACAGTCACACTCACACCCACCCACGCGCACACACGCACACACCACACACAAACCTGCACGCACACACACACACACACGCACACACACACACACGCACGCACGCGCACGCACACACTCGCACACACGCGCGCACACACATACACACACATACACGCATACGCACTTACACATACACACATACACTCATATACAAATACACGCATACGCGCATGCACGCATACGCGCGCATACACACATACACGCTTACATACATATATATGTACATATATATATATGTACACACGTACACACATACACACATACACACATACACGCAAACACACACACACAACACACACACATACACACATTAACACACGCACGCGCACATGCATCCACATACACACTCTCGCACACACACGCAATTACGCTTCACACGCACCGATTTCTCAGAGGTTGGTCAAGAGTTTTCGCATATCCGCGCGTCGCTGTATGCTACTTGGAGCGTCCCTTGGATGCTTCAAAGAGCTTCTTGGAACACCTTGCGGAATTCTTGAAGCCAGACGGGGCTGTATGGGCTGTCTTCGGACGGTCGTAGATCTATGTGTGGTGCGCGTTTTTTGTTGAGGTGGAGTGCGACGAAGGAAAGGGGGCGGCCCTATCAAACACCAAAGAACCCTGCCAGACAACAGACAACTATTGTAACGCGCCCCAACTCGTGGGCGCGAGACTTATCCAAGTCCACGGTCTCGCGGGCCCAGCCTCTGGGCCGCGACCCCATGGGGCACAACGCAACGCAACGCAACGCAGCACAGCGCAACACAACACAACGCACAATACAACACCACACAACACAACACAACACAACACAGCACAACACAGCACAGCACAGCACAGCGCACCACCACACCATGCAGTGCCACTCCTCACCATGCCACGCTACGCCATGCCACGCCACGCCGCAGCACAAAGCACCACAACGCAACGCAACACATAGCAAAGCAGCACATCGCAACGCGCACGCGCTCGCACGCGCCCACGCACCAACCCGCCCGCGCGCCCGCGCACCCGCGCATCCACAGCACAACGCCCGCAAGCTCACACTTTCACGTGCACGCGCTTACGCGCGCACTTACACGCAAGTACACGTACGCACATTTCCGCATTTATACGCACAAGCACACGCACGCACTCGCACGCACGCGCACACACGCGCGCACGCGTACACGCGCGCGCACACGCGCACGCGCACGCACGCACGCACGCCACCACGCAAACACACGCACACACGCCGACGCACACACGCGCGCACGCACACACACGCACGCGCGGACGCACACATAAACGCGCATAATCACAACCATAACCACAGACACAAACACAACACACGCACGCACGGACGCACGCATGCAAGCACGCACGCGCGCACGCACGCGCACTCACGCACGCGCGCACGCACGCGCGCACGCGCGCGCACGCACGCACTCGCACAATCACGCACACTCACACGCACTTACACATACACGCACGCACACACACACACACTCACACTTGCACTCTCGCTCGCGCTCGCACTCACACTCGCACTCGTACCCACACTCACACTCGCACTCTCACTCGCACTTGCACTCGCACTCGCACTCGCACTCGCACTCGTGCTCGCACTCACGCTCACACCCACACTCACAGCCACACTCACGCTCGCACTCGCACTCACATTCGCATTCACTCTCCCATTCACACTCGCAGTCGCATTTGCATTCACACTCGCACCCACACTCACACGCACACCCAAGACTATCACTCGCACTCACACTCACACTCACACTCACACTCGCACTCACACTCGCATTCGCACTCACACTAGCACTCGCACTCACACTTGCACTCGCACTCGCACTCACACACACTCGCACTCACACTCACAGTCACACTCACACTTGCAGTCGCACCCACACTCGCACACACCCTCTGTCACAGTCACACTCACACCCACCCACGCGCACACACGCACACACCACACACAAACCTGCACGCACACACACACACACACGCACACACGCACACACACACGCACGCACGCGCACGCACACACTCGCACACAAGCGCGCACACACACATACACACACATACACGCATACGCACTTACACATACACACATACACGCATATACAAATACACGCATACGCGCATACACGCATACGCGCGCATACACACATACACGCTTACATACATATATATATATGTACATATATATATGTACACACGTACACACATACACACATACACACATACACGCAAACACACACACAACACACACATACACACATTAACACACGCACGCGCACATGCATCCACATACACACTCTCGCACACACACAATTACGCTTCACACGCACCGATTTCTCAGAGGTTGGTCAAGAGTTTTCGCATATCCGCGCGTCGCTGTATGCTACTTGGAGCGTCCCTTGGATGCTTCAAAGAGCTTCTTGGAACACCTTGCGGAATTCTTGAAGCCAGACGGGGCTGTATGGGCTGTCTTCGGACGGTCGTAGATCTATGTGTGGTGCGCGTTTTTTGTTGAGGTGGAGTGCGACGAAGGGAAGGGGGCGGTCCTATCAAACACCAAAGAACCCTGCCAGACAACAGACAACTATTGTAACGCGCCCCAACTCGTGGGCGCGAGACTTATCCAAGTCCACGGTCTCGCGGGCCCAGCCTCTGGGCCGCGACCCCATGGGACACGGAGTGTTTTTTCGCGGATGCACCGCGCATCCGCGGGACCGCGCCCCGGCATCCAGACCGCGAAGGAGTGGGCGTGGATAGGTCTGCCGCTCGTGGCCAGCGTGCCGAAGGCACGGCGGCGGACCACACGGCACGCGACCGAGTACGTCCGTGCCACGGTTCTGTGGGTCCGAGAGGCTCTCTCTGCGGCTGCCGACCGCCCCGGCCATGGGCAGGCGGCCGTGCGTGCCCTCCGGCTGGTCCTCGGCCCTGCCGCGGTCCCCAGCGAGCAGCACGTGGCCCTCTCCGCGGCGGTGGAGGCCGAGGCAGCCCAGCCACGAGCGGGGGAGTTGCGGTCCTCACACCCCAGGGGTGGGCCCCTCGGCCTCGACACCCCCCAGGAGAGATCGCCGACGCGATGGGTTCACCCAGGGGTGTCTGGAGCACAGCTCCCCCAGCTGTGGACGGTTGGCGAGGACCTGGCCGCGTGCCTCCAGATCATGAAGGTCGCCCTCAAGGCGGCCACGGGAGGAAGCTCTCCTCAGGAGCTTCCCAAGGTCTTCGAGAGGCCTTCGCACGCCCGTCTGTCACCCCGCCATCTAGGTTTTGGACTCCGCACGTCGCCCTCAAGGCGGCCACGGGAGGAAGAGGTGCCGACGCCTCGGCTTCGCCTCTTTGGCTCCCCCCCCTGGGGGCTCTCGTCGCCGTGGCTGGCCCAGACCCCCGATGTCATGGATTTTTCGCAACGTCGACCCCCAGAGGTCTGGACCCCTTCCCCGGGAGCGGTTTCTCATCCCGAGCCGTTTTTGGACGGTCCCGAGGCCCGGTGAGGGCCCTCGGAGGCCGAAGATAGAACAAACATTTGCCGCCGTGTTTTTTTCACAATCCGAGGGGTTCTGGGGGGTTAGCAGGCCGAAGATAGAACAAACATTTGCCGCCGTGATTTTTTTTACAATCCGAGGGGGTCTGGGGGGTTAGCCCCGACATTCTGGTCAGAGCGCACCTCTGGAGAATTCTGGGGGAGCAGCGGGATCGGTACCGTTCGGCTTCCTCTCTTCCTCCTCCTCCTCCTCCTCCTCCTCCTCCTCCTCCTCCTCCTCCCAGGCGGAGGCCTGCAGGGACCTCCTGGGCGGCATCCTGGCGGCCCTGTCGCCGGGCGGCCAGGCCGACGGCTGCGACCCAGGCTCGCTGGCGTTCGCGGTGGGCTGCCTGGCCGCAGCCTTTGTCCAGCGCAGCGCCGCGCTCGGCCTCGACGAGGGGGTGTGGCACGTCAGCTTCCCGGACTTCCGCGCGCACGTGCCCGTGTGCCGCTTCCTGGACCAGGCGAGCGTCCTGGAGGCGTGGTGCCGTTACTTGGACCTCGTGGGGGCGTCGCCCGGGGCCTCGGAGGGCGGGGGCGGTGCCGATGCCGAGCTGGGCCGTGGGCTGCCGGAGAGGGCGCACGTCCCTGGCTGTGTGGCTTCGTGGCCGGGGGCGGAGCCACACCGGCTCTTTGTAGGTTCGCAGTGGCTGATTGCATGCAACGCGCACTCTCCGGGCATCGAGGGCCTCTTGGAGCACGCCACAGCGATGGAGGGCGGCGACGGCTCAGCGGCGGACATCTCAGCGCCCATGTACTACAGTTCTGGCTCTGGGCACTACAGCGAAGCCCAGGAGGAGGTTCTCGAGAGGCACTGTCTCCAGTGCCGTGAGCTGGACTGGGCCTACTTCTCCGAGTCGTGGCGCACCGCGCTAGACATCAAGCCCGACGTCTTCCTCAGGCTGGCGGCCTTCGGCGTGGACACGCTGCGCCTCTTCCTCTGCCTGCCCCCCGAGAGAGCAATCGAGCTCGGGCTCACCCACCTGCTGGACGCTGCGGGGCGCGGGGGCACCCCGCAGGCAATCGGGCTGGAAGAGGAGGAGGAGGAGGAGGAGGAGGAGGAGGAGGAGAGGAGGAGGGGAGGAGGAGAGAGGAGGAGGAGGAGGAGGAGGGGAGGAGGAGGAGGAGGAGAGAGAGATGGCAAGGACGAGGAGGAGAAGGAGGAGGAGGAGGAGGAGGAGGAGGAGGAGGAGGAGGAGGAGGAGGAGGAGGAGGAAGGAGGAGGAGGAGGAGGACGAGGAGGAGGGAGGAGGAGGAGGAGGAGGAGGAGGAGGAGGAGGTCCGCGGTGATCTTGGCCTGGGCGCTGGAGAACCCCCCCCCGACGGGGGGAGCCCCCCCAAAACGGGGCGGTGACCAAACCGTGTGGTGAGTCGGTGGGGGCTCGTCCTCGTCCTCCTCCTCCTCCTCCTCCTCTCCTCCTTCTTCTCCTCCTCCTCCTCCTCCTCCTCCTCCTCCTCCTCCTCCCCTCCTCCTCCTACCTCCTCCTCCTCCTGGGTGACCGTATGGTTACGGGACTCGGGTCGTTCTCCGAGGGTGTCTCGGGCGGCTGGCCTCTGGAGTCCCAAAACGGTGCGGCGGCGGACCTGGCGGTGTGTTTTTCGGGGCTCTCTGGTGGCTGCCGCACGGTCCGTCATCGCACCGCTCCGGGGCCCCGGAGGGCGGGGGGGTCCGCGCGGCCCTCCGCAGGTCTGTGCTGGTGCAGTCTTTTCTTGTTCTGCAGTCGGGCCGCTGGAACAAGGAACGGCAAATGAGGAGCGACGGCGCGCACGAGGAGGGCCAGAGGAGCAGCCGTGAAAGGACCTAGACTGTTCCTTCTTTCAGCGTCCCGTAGGCCCTTCCGTGCCCCTTTCGTGCCCAAACTCTTCGTGCCCAAAGTGTTCGTACCGCTGTCCTTACCAACCAGAGAACATCGAGCCCCTTTCGTACACAGTCTGTCCTGATTTCAGTGACTTGACCGCAGGCACGGCTGGCGGCCGTCGTGGCGCAGAAGCTCTTGCTGGACGTGGAGTGCGCGGCTCCCCTGCTCGAGGCCGCGGCGCGCGAGGGCCCGGGCGAGGTTAGGGATCCCGCAAAGGGGTGGGGGCGTGCCCCGGCCCGGTGTGTGTGCGTGTGTGTGTGTGTGTGAGTCCGATCGTTTTTTGCACCGGACCGCCCCAAACAGATGCCCCCCAGAGCGCCGGCAGCTCCCGATAGCTGCTGGTGGGTGGGGCATGCGGGGGGCATCTGTTTGCGGCAGTTCGGTGCACCAGCGGATCGAGCTCATGCCCCCGTCTCTCAGGGGCACCCCCCGTTTTGGTGGATCCCGAGAGAGGTGGCCCCGCGCCTCGCGGCGGTGAAGTGGCTGCTGCTCACGGCTCTGCCGGAGAGCGAGGCCCTGTCGATGTTGTCGGGCGTCGGCCGCATCCGAGAAGAAGGGACGTCGGCATAAGACATGATGGGCCCACTTTCCATCACCACTACCTTACACAGCCGTGACAAAAGTTTCTTCCATTTGCTATGATGAAGATCGCTCCCATCCCTCTCAAGATTCCTAACATGACATGATGCTGGGATCATTCGGCGGAGTAGTTTCCGATCCCGGAGACGTTGATAACTCCGTTACCCCAAAACGGGATCGGAAATTACTCCGCGCCAAACCATATAAACTATGGAACGGGATGCGATTGCGCGCGGAGTAGTTTTAGTAAAACTACTCCGAACTAGCGCGTCATTCCAAAGGCAATTTGGAAGAAACTTTCGTCACGGCGATGTACGCGGAAGAGGGACGAGGAGGAGGAGGAGGACCTCATCCTCCCCTATCTTTCGTCCTACATGTGGTGGTGGCGGTGGTGGAACATCTGCCCATCAAGACATGAGCTGCCGGAGGCCCGCGCGGATTTCTTTTGGGCCGGCGCCCTGGGCCCTCCCAAAGCTCGGAGGTGGAGGGCATATGCGGCTGCCGCCGCGCTTCCCTCGTGTCGCGGCGGCTGCATCGGCCCCGGGATTCTGGGCTGAGGCCCCCTGCAGAGGCCAGAGGGGGTGGCGTTAGGTCGGGCGTGTTCCCCTACAGGTGGATCTCGGACGAAAAATCTGCTCAAACATATGCCAAAATCGGCCCAAAAAATGTCACCAGACTATTTTTTGACTATTTTTGAATATTCCTCCTGTAGAGGGACACGCCCGACTTACGAATAGCGGTATCTGTGCCTCTTCTTGTCCCCCCTCCAGCGGCGCCAGGTGCGCCGCCCCTGGCGCGCTCCGCGCGCCAGGGAGGGGGCTCCAGCGCCGATCCACGAGGCCCGTGCGGACCTCCGCAAGCCGTGAGGCTCGTGCTGCTGTCTCTTCTTCTGCGCATAGACGAGGCCGCCGTGCAGCAGCTGGTCCGCGCCAAGGTGATGCTGTGCCCGCGCGGCCGCGACGAGCTCCGGCGGCGGGTCGTGTCCATCGTGGTGGGCCTCGACGGTGGCGACATCTTGGCCTCGCAGCACGACGTGCGCCGCTTCCTGCTCGAGACCACGACCCCGCTGCGTGACCTCCTGTGCGACGGCCGCGCCAGGGTTGGGCGAGCGATCGTGTCGTTCCTGTTCTGCCCCGACCACACCGAGCGGCTGAAGCGGGGGGAGGCTGGCCGCGCCATCACAGGTCGGGGGGCGTCCGCTGCTCGCCTCCATCGGCCCTGGCCGGGCCAGTCCTGGGCCCGTGCTCGGTGACCACGCCGCCCTGGCCAAGCCCGTCGGGTGTATACGCCTGACATGCATCTCCTGGGAGGTTGAGGCCAGCATCGGCGCTGGTACCTCTCCGTGGTCGAAACCCGGCCTGATCCAGCCTCGTCCCGTTCGATTCCGTCGAATCCGGTTTCGTCCGCCTAACCGGGCTCGACCTTGGGCTCATGCTTTGGGCTGGTCTGCCTTGATGGCCGCTCAGTCGGGCCTGATGGCCCCCGAGTCGTTCTCGCGAAGACCTCCCTGGAGCTGTCTCCTGACGGGATGGACCCGTCCAGGACCGGTGAGGCTTCAGCCTGCCCCAGCCTCGGGCAGGGTGGGGCTCGACATGCTGGAACCCACTGGGCTGGATCGCCCCTCCCTCGGGATTGGGGGCACTGTTCCCAGTCTCGGGGCGAACCCCCCCCCCCGCCCCCCCCGTTTTGGCCGCGAGTCTTCTTTGGGTTCTCCCCGCTTCTCCAGAGGGAGCGCCCGCTTCTCGGCGTTTCGCTCCGGGGGGGCCTGTCCCAGACATGCGACGTCTCGATGTTTTCAAGTCGGGGTCTCCGGAAGTCCCGACCTTTTCCCTGGGGCCGTTTTCTTTTCTTTTTGTTCGTTCGTTTTTTGACGGTCCGCGGCCCGGCGAGGGCCCCCAGAGATCGAGAACTGCCGAAGGCTTCCCGTATCGATTTTTTCACGACGCCAGCATGCCTGGGTCTCCATCCTCGTCGGGCCCAGCTGACGCCGCCCGAAGCAGAGAGCTTCGCCCACATGTTCGGCTTCGACGTCCTCCGCTGGAGCTCGCGGGCGGCGAACAGATCCGTTTCCGCGCCCTCGCGGTCCGGATTCCAGGGCGCGGTCCTGCGGATGCGCGGTTGCACGTCTGCGTTCTGCGCGGGGCATCCGCAAACAAAAACGCCCCGTATCCGTGGCGTCGCGGCCCAGAGGCCTGGGCCGTGAGGCCGCGGAGGAGGAGGGGGAGGAGGCGGAGAAGGGGGAGAAGGAGGAGGGTGAGGAGAAGGAGGAGGAGGAGGAGGAGGAGGAGGAGGAGGAGGAGGAGGAGGAGGAGGAGGAGGAGGGAGGACCAGTGTAAACCCAAGAGTCACCAACGATGCTGGAATAAACCCTCAACAACGGTTCATTTCCACAGGGTGACCTGCCTCGGTGGAAGTCAACCGTTTGAAGACCGCATGCCAAAACATTATTCTCGGTCAGGGTGAGGGGGCCGAACGGTCACTCGCTGTCCCTGGGTGCGTGGCTGCAGTGGGGATCCACGGCGAGGATTCTTGTTGTTGTTTTGTTGTTTTGTTTTGTTGCGTCCTCGCCCTGCGACCCCACCCGCGACCCACCTGCGACCCACCCCGCGACCCACCCCTCGACCCACCCCGCGATCCACCCCGCGACCCACCCCGCGACCCACCCGCGACCCACCCGCGACCCACCCCGTGACCCTCCCGCGACCCACCCGCGACCCATCCGCGACCCACTCCGCGACCCACCCGCGACCCACCCCGCGACCCACCCCGCGACCCACCCCGAGACCCAGCCCGCGACCCACCCGCGACCCCACCCGCGACCCACCCCGTGACCCACCCGTGACCCACCCGCGACCCACCCGCGACCAGCATGCTGACCCACCCCGCGACCCACCCGCGACCCACCCCGCGACCCACCCCGCGACCCACCCCGCGACCGACCCGCGACGCGACCCACCCCGCGATCCGTTCTTATTGCTTTAACAAAAAAACCGGCGTCTGCGGCGGGCTCAATGCATAATTTGTAAAACTCAGGCGCCTGCGGCGGGCTTCTTCAGAGCCTCGCAGACTGACGACGTCCTCGCCGCCCCCTCACTCTCATCCGCAGCTGCGGGGGGCTACGTATTCCAAAGCCACGGATAAACCTTACTGTTGCGTATTGGCGATCCTGAATGGTGCCAGAACGCCGTTCTTGGGACCCCACTCCGCGAATCATCGTAATTGTTGCGCCCTTAAAACAGTGAGTCCTTCCAAAACACCATTTCTTAGAAGTCGATCATGGGAACCCGTGAAACTCTCGCAATGTTTAACAATAATGTGCGCGGCGCTAAGGCGAGAGCCACATTTTGAAAAGGAACCGCCCTCAATCCGTGAGACTCTTGCAAATTTTGAAAACGAATGTGCGCGGCGCTCAGGCGAGAGCCACATTTTTAAAATCACCCGCCCTCAATCCGTGAAACTCTTACAGTGTTTTTGCAACGAATGTGCCCGGCGCTAAGGCGAGAGCCACATTTTGAAAACTACCCGCCCTCAATCCGCGAAATTCTTGCAAACGGATGTGCGCGGCGCGGAGGCGAGAGCCACATTTTGACAACGACCCGCCTTCAATCAGTGAAACCCTTGCAAATGTTGAAAACAACTAACTGTGCGCGTCGCTAAAGCGAGAGCCATATTCTGAAAACGACCCGCCTTCAATCTGTGAAACTCTTGCATATTTTGAAAATAAATGTGCGCGGCGCTCAGGCGAGAGCCACATTTTGAAAATCACCCGCCCTCAATCTGTGAGACTTTTTGCAAATGTTTAAAACGAATGTGCGCGGCGCTAAGGCGAGAGCCACATTTTGAAAACGACCCGCCTCCATCTGTGAAACTGTTGCCAACATTTAAGCTTCAAGATCATACATGGTGAGGAAAACTCAGGCGAAACGCCCGGCCCGCCTTACAAACTGACCTCGGGGTGCGACAGGGAGAAGTTTTCTTTATAAGGAGAACAATAATGGAGGAAGAGAGGAGAGGAGGAGGAGGAGGAGGAGGAGGAGAAGGAGGAGGAGGAGGAGGAGGAGGAGGAGGAGGAGGCGGAGGCGGATGAGGAGGAGGAGGAGGGGGAGGAGGAGGAGTAGGAGGAGGAGGAGGAGGCGGAGGAGGGTTCCTTGCGCCCACGAGGAGCCCGCTGCACGGCGCGCCCGCTGCGGAGCCCCACCGCGTCACCCCGGCGGCGCACGCCGCGGCGCTGGAGCGCTCGCCCGGGCCGGCTGTCGCGCGCGCCCTCGCCGGCGGCCCGCTGCTCGGCGCCGTGTGCCGCCTTGCCGAGTCGGAGGGCAGCATCGTCTAACCTTGGGTTCCCTCTGATTCAGAGGAGGAAAAGGTATTATACTGCTGCCCTTTTTTCGGCCCTGGCGTAGGCCCTCGTCGCCACCGCTGGATTGGCCTCTCGAAATTCTAGTAAGAACGCACCCCGGGAGAGGTCCGGGGAGTATCTGTACCGGTATCAATTTGGTTTCCCCATTGATGCTTTGAAAGACGCCACCGCTCTAAACTCGCCCAGGCATGCCCGAGCGAGCATACCCGGCACGACCACACCCAGAAGAACCTTCTAGATTTGTTTAGGCATGCTCAGAAGCATGCCAACGTGCACTCCTGCCGCACGCCCAGCGATTCCACACGCACGCCTTGCGCACGCAGGCTTAGATTCGGCCCCCCAGAGTCTTAACATGATCGGAGGGAGGCCAAGTCCAACCTGTCCCCACTTCACTGGTCGGCGGCGAGCCCGGGGGGAAGTCAGCGGGGGCCTCACTTCCCCCCAGGGCTTGGCTCGGTAGCAACTCCTGGGAGCTTGGTATGTCCTCGCAGCTCCTTTTCAGAGTGTCTTAGCGTGCGCTGGCGTCTGGTAGCTGATCCGAAGGCGCAGACTTAGCCTCGAGTAGAGTCGCTTCAGCGTCGGTCGGTGCCGCTCAGCGTCGATTGACTTCGGTTGGTGTCGACTTGCAAGAGCCAGCAGGATGATATGGGAGGCTCCCGTGATTTGCCGCAGAGCACAGGGCCATGGTATCTCAGCCGCACCAGCCCACCCTCCGAGGTCCCAGGTGGGGATAAGCCCGGCGAAAGCCGCAGGAACAGTCATCGGGTCTCACGAGACGGGGGTCAATGCAAGCGGGGGTCAGTCAGAGCGCCAGATCTTGCAGGATCCTGCAGCGCCAGGGCTGCAGTGACCCAGGTTAGCTTGCAGGATCCTGAAAGGCCTGACTGACCCGGGTCAGAAGATCCCCGAAATCACATCCCCACCTTGGTCGGGAAGTCGGCCAGTGGGGCTGAGGTCGCACCAGTGGAGAGTTACCCTGACCTCCCATGAGGGCTATACATAGCACCAGCACCTCGACATCGAAATTCCTGTCGAGGTTGGAGGCAGTCCAGATAGGTCTATAGGCTTGGAGGGCTGTTTTTATTTAGCATTTTTTAGCACTGAAAGGTCAGGGTAGGGATCAGGCAAACGATGCTCAGGAGGGCATTGACAGCGCGGACGCCTTCTTGTGCGAGGCGCTCAGCGGCAACGGCATGGGAGAGGGGGCTGGTCCGAGGTTCGAGGTGTTTTGGCGTTTTCGTCGGCCCTCAGCGGGTTTCCAGCCTCGGGATGCCTTCCAGCGGCAGCGCCTCGCCGAGAGCGCTCCAGGGGTACCCGAATCGTCCCGGAAGGCCACTGGAGGTCCGAGTGATGGCCCCCAAACCACCAGGTGATAGGCCCGGAGAGGGATGCAGCAGCCCCTGGCCGCCCATCGCTGATCATGGGCCTGGGTATACCACCCCGCCCTGGAGCGTGCGGTGCCGGTGTCGAGGGGCTCATCGCCGCTTTGCTTCGTCGAGGAGCCGCCGACTCGAAGTCCATGCCTCCCCCTCCCTGAGCCAGTCTCCCCCTGCAGGTGCTCGACTGTCTGCCCATGGGCTGCGACAACCTCGTCCTGATCGTCCTGGAGACGCTCGCCTGCCCCGGGCCGGCGGCGGCGGGGGCGTGCCCGAGGCTTGGGGAGGAGGCCATCAAGGGCATCCTCAGGTCTGCCGCGAACCCTTTCCTCCCCAGGCTCTTCGAGGCGCTGCGCGCCCGAAGCCTGGGAGGCTACCTCGCCCTCGTGGCCTCGTACGCCAGGGGCGATGCCGGCCGCCCGCTCCGTCTGGCCCTGGACGCCAGCCCCGCGCTCCAGCAGCTGTATGTGGAGCACTTCCGCGGCGCAAGCCCTGGCGACGGCGACCAGGGAAGAGGAGGAGGAGGAGGAGGAGGAGGAGGAGGAGGAGGAGGAGGAGGAGGAGGAGGAGGAAGGAGGAGGAGGAGGGGAGGAGGAGGAGGAGGAGGAGGAGGAGGAGGAGGATTATGAGAGGTGGAGGAGGAAGGGTGAGGGAGGAAGGGGCGGGGGTGAGGAGGGTAGGAGGAGGTGGGGGAGGATGGAGGAGGAGGAGTAAGGTAAGGAGGAGGAGAAGGAGGAGGAGGGGAAGGAGGGAGGGAGGAGGAGGAGGTGGAGGAGGAGGAGGAAGGAGGTGGAGGAGGTGGAGGAGGTGGTGGAGGAGGAGGATGGAGGGAGGAGGAGAGAGGAGGGGGAGGGAAGGAGCACGGAGTGGGAGAGGGAGAGTGAGAGGGAGGGGAGGGGCGTGGGGAGGGGAGGGAGGAGGAGGAGGCGGAGGGGAGGAGGGGGTGAGGAGGAGGAGGAGGAGGAGGGAGGAGGAGGCCGGAGGAGGAGGAGGGGGAGAGGAGGAAAGCTAGAGCGCTTCGCGTCATACCTGGACAGCCTTACCCCTCCCTACCCAATCTCTTACCATGGCGAGATCCCCTTCTACTCGCACAGTCGGATGTCGAGCAGGGCGTATGATTCCGAAAGGGTAGCGCGATGCATTGTAGAGCACGGCATGGCATGGCGTAGAAGAGCACCGCGAAGCGTAGTATCAACCTAGCATTGCATTGCATGCCGTGGCATGGCACGGGAAATGACGCCAGCGCTGCAGCGGGAGCACGAGTCGAAATAAGCGGAAGCGCGGAAATGAGGCCAGCGCTGCAGCGGGAGCACGATTCGGAACGAGTGGAAGCACGGAAATGAGGCCAGCGCTGCAGCGAGAGCACGATTCGGAACGAGCGGGGCCCGAAAATGAGGCCGGCGCCCCAGCGAGAGCAGCATTTCGGGAAAAATTGCAGGCGAAAACATAACTCCGGGGAAGGCTTCCCGGGCGCCAGAATCGCCGGCCCGGGCGCCGGCTCGGGCGTCCGGCCTGGGCGCCGGCTCGGGCGCAGGCCTGGGCGTCGGAATCGGCCCGGCAGGCCTCCCGGGCGCCGGAAGCAGAAATTCAGCATTTTCAAAAGAAAAAAGTGTATTAGATTGATCTTTTCTCGGCGCCGCCTCGGAACTCGATTTTCCGGCGCCGGCCGGAACCGGCTCCGGACCCGGCCCGAGCGCCGGTCCGGGCGCCGGCTCGGGCGTGCAGCCCGCTTTGGTGATGGCGTTGACATATGAGATTTATGTCAGATGAAGTCACTTATAAGTTACTTCAATTATATATGAAGTTATTTGTAAGTAACTTGAAATCACTTGTAGTGAGATATGTTAAGATCCTGCAACTACCATCCACATCTAACTTAAGTCAATAACATATATACTTAAATCACATGTAGAACATATGTTACTTGTGTGCACCCAATTGCCATACTTATAAGTTACTTGTAGTTATACTTATAAATAAGATAAGTTTAAGTCCGATAAGTCTGCTTTTTCGTCTGCTTTTTGAAAAGGGGGTCGGACACCGAAAAACGAGCAGGTTTTCTTCAGCACAGTGTTTCGCCAGGCGCCAGGCGACCGAGAAGGCCGTTCATCACCGAGCTCAACCCGCGCAGCCTGGGGGGTAGGAGAGAGGGGGCGGGAATGGCGGGGGGGGGATCGGGAGGGGATGCCATGCGCATTGGCGGCACACCGCCCGCACTTCTCATCGCGGCGCGTTCTGATGTGATTCGTTTTGGCGGCCCACCGCCCACGTCTTGCAAATTCTGAGCAGTTTTATCGCATTGGCGGCGCACCGCCCATCGCTATGTTTTGCCCGCGTATTGCAATTTGTACGTTTTGCACATGTTGATTGAAGTTTCGTCGCGTTGGCGGTGCACCGCCCACGTTCCCTTGATTGCGCGAATCGTTTCTTCACGCATCGGCGGAGCACCGCCCACGCAGCACGTTTCATCCGAATTCGTCATCGATTTTGGCGGTACACCGCCCACGTCCCCGTGATTGCGCGATGCGTTTCTTTCGCGTTGGCGGTGCACCGCCCGCGGCGCATGCTTCGCCCGAGTTTGTCATCGCATTTGGCGGCCCACCGCCCACGTCACCTTGATTGCGCGAGGTGTTTCTGCATTCGTGGGCGGTGCACCGCCTTCGGCGCACGTTTCATCATATACCGTTTGATTGGTCGCATTGGCGGCGCACCGCCCAGGAGGGGGGAGGAGGGGAGAGGGGGGAGGAGAGGATAGCAGAAGGAAGACGTGAAGGGCCATGCCATTTCCCTTCGCCACAAGACGCTGCCCCTGTCCCACCGAGCGCTTCTGGAGGGGCCGCGGGGCGGGCGCCCCCCGACGCGCCGCGGCGCGATGGAGCGCGTCCAGGCTGCCCTGGGCGAGGCAGCCGCGGCGCTTGCAGCGGCGAGCGGGCCTTCCAGGGGCGCTGCAGAGCAGCTGCACTTCGGGGAGGTGCGCGCGCTCATCGAAGGCCAGAGGTGAGGCTCGGGACAAAGATCCCGTACGGGCGAGAGGCCATCCGTTCCCCCTTCGAGGAGGTCCCCGCCTCCGTTCGGCGGAACGCCGCCCGCTCCCCCCTCCTCCCCGCCGTCTAACATTCCCCCGTCGTTTTGCAGGTGGACGGCCGCGGAGAAAGGGCAGCTGCTGACCGAGCTCGGGCAGACGGGGTTCAGTCACGATTTGGTCGGCGCCGCGACCGAGTGGCTCTGCGGGAGGCGCGCGAAGGCCAAAGGGCAAAGTTACGAGTGCTTCGTGGAGTTGCTTACTGCCTCCACGTGGCACGTGCTGCTGAGCCCAACCGAGTCGTTCGCTTCGAAATTTGTCATGTTGATGCGCCACTTGGTGCGCCTCGGGCTCCGGAACCCTTCCGAGCCGACGTTTGGCATGCTAGCCGCGTTCATGTTCCTGGCGTGCCAGCGATCAGGCATCGAGAAGAATTCGCCAACTCCGCAGCTCTTGGACGTGTACTTGCAGTTGGTGAAGACCACGTGGCGTTCCCCTGCCTACACAGCTGCTCGAGGCAAGGCGACCGAGTTTGTCGGCGCGCTCTCCCCCTCGGCGGCGCTGTTCCAGCAGGAGAGGCCGACGCTGTACGAGCAGGCGTTCGCCTCGGAGGGGCCCGTGCAGCCGACAATTGGGCTTCTCGAGACGCAGATCCTCGGGAAGCTCATCAGCTTGCGCGGCAACAGGAACGCAGCGCTCGGCGCCCAGGCAACGCCGCAGCGGGCGGCGTTGCCGCCGATCGCCTTCGCGCCTCTGCCGCCGCCTTCTCCGATGCAAAGCGTTGCGGGTGCAGCCGCGACGATTGCCGCGACGCCTCCCTTGGGAGCCGCGACGCCAGCGGCGTTGCCGTTGGGGGTGATCCCAACGCACAACACCCGCGGCGGGTGGCCGAACCCAGCGGCGGCCGCCCTCGTCTCGCAGCGCGGGCCGACGACTCCCACTCCAGCAGCTCCCGCGGGCACGCCTGCCGCGATGTCGGGAGCGGCGCCTGCGGCCGCGGCCTCAAAGTTGGGTGGTGGCGCCAAGGTCAAGGCATCGGCCGTTGACGTCATGGTGCTGAGCTCGAGCGAGTCCGAGGTGGACGCGAAGGGGGCGCCGCAGAAGAAGGCAAAAGTTTTTGGACGGTAACCTGGGCCCGCCTCCGCGGCCTCCGCGATTCACGGGGGCGCGCCTCTGCCCAAGGCAGCGGCGCGCCCTCTGCGGGGCGTCGCAGGCGCGGCGATTGGTTATTGCCACTTGCCGCTGTTAAGGTGGATCCGACACTGCCGCTGGCGAAGCTGCCTGCCGACGCTGCCCTGGTTCTCCTCCAAGCGGCGGGGCAACGTACTTCCTCTGGCTGGAAAGCGGAGAAGGGCGAGAAGAAGCGGGGGAAGTCCGACGCAGTGGCGGCCTTGGCGAAGACAAAGGCTTCAGATGGCACGGCGAAGCCATCGGCGGCGAAGGCAAAGGCAATGGCAAAAGCCGAGGCAACACCGAAGAAGATTGCGAAGGCGAAGGCGGCAGCATGCAAGCTGAAAGCACCGCGGTATGACGACGAGACCACTCGCAGCCAGATTCTCTTCAGGAGCGGGCGCAGCGGGCCAGGCGGCACCAAGAGCAAGAAGTACAGGAACGGCAAGGAGAAGGACACTTTTGGGTCCCATCTCCTGCAATCGGCGTGGCCACGGGGCTCGATGCGCGGCGGCGGAGCGCGTTGTTGCGGCCGCGCGTGGCCTCGCTCCAATCATATGCGCAAAGAGACCCCGCGGGCCACTTTGCGTTTATGACGGTTTTCCTCTGCCACTCAGGAGGCCGCCATCGCCTGGGCCAAGGCGCTGGTGCAGAGCGAGCTGGAGGCTCGCAAGGGCGAGTTCTGAGGCGACCTGCTTCGGTGGCGCGATGCAAGACTCTCAGTCGGATTTGCCGCGGGCGGCGCGTGGGGCGCGCAGCCTGCGTTCAGAAAACAAGGAACTCGGATCGAAATCGGATCGTAATCTCATCGGGCCTTGCTTGTCCTTGCGCTGCTCAGGCGGTTCTTCGTATTTGTTGGAAGGTTTGCCTGGCGGTGCACCGCCTCCATCTGTTGTCGGCGGTGTTCCGCCTTCGCTGGTTCCATTACCATGGGCGTTCTCATTTCTCTGACCGCTGCCTCGCCCTTGCCCGCCTCCCTCCGCCGCTCCCCCCGCGCCTTTTTCAATTCAAGCAGCCCTCCCCGCGGGTCCCGCGGCGCCCCTCCCCGCGCCGCTGCCGCCAGCGGCCGCGGGCGCTTCGCGGGCGCATGGCGAGCGAGGGCGCGGCCAGCTGCGCCATGGACAACTCCGCGGAGGCGCTGGGAATTCAGAAAACGCCTGCTCAGCCCGAAGCGTCCGCTTGGGCAGTGCAGGCTGATTTCCTGGATTCCTGTTGAGGTGCACACGGCGGCTTCAGATGCGAGCCAGTCGCTTTTCGAGCAGGTCGCCGAAGCCATGAACCTCTTCGAGATGTTCGCCCAGGCTCGAGGGA